AGTGCAAGGGCCTGAGTTCAATACCCAGTTCAGCCACAAAAAAAAAAAACAACAAAACAAAACCCTATACTACTGAAAATGCTACACACATGCAAGAAAATATTTGTCAATATACTAAGGACACTCTTCACAGAAAGAAAAATTTCTAACAATAATTCTTGATAAATATGATATTAATAGGCTATTACTCTCCTAGAAACCAATAATTAACAGACATAAAGTTACATTAAGGAAACAATTTTATTCCATCATAAATGCAAATAATAAATATCACTCGGAGGTATCATGCTACAGAGCCGGTGGGTGGATGAAGAGATGGGGATCAAGCAACAATGCTGTCTTCTGAACCTCTGATCAGGCCACAGAGGACTGGAATGCAGCAAAAAGCCTCAGGGAGCAAATTAACAGGAAGAAATTCTAAGACTGTTGGGTTTGGTTTTGTCTTTCCAAGTTGTGGAAATTATAGAAGCAGGGTAGCAGAAGATGTTTGTAAGTGTCAGTGACCACTTATTTCACTTTGTGCCCCTCATCCTCCTTCAGAGACACCCGTAACAGGACATTCAAAACCACACTGGTGACTCATGAGCTCAAGGGAAATTTGAAGTTCTCCCACAGACCTGTTCTCTATCTCCCCAACATGCTGAGGAAAAGAACAGAGTGAAGAGAGGGATGCCATAATGATTACCTCTAAAACTATTGCTCAGGAAAAAAAGTGGCAGTGTTTGATTTCAAAGTTCTTTGGGGACCTGTACTGCAGACCAAGGATTTAGTGTAAAACATCAGGGCATTTTGTGGAATTTTATAGCCCACAGAGTCAGACCTGACAGCTGAGTGTAGAAAGCAGGTTCTGTTAGCATGTTAACACATAAAGCCAGTATCAGGTATTTGTGGTGATGTTTTAATAATCAAAGCCAAATTTTTAATTGCTAAAATTAAATACATGCCATCTACATACATTTTTATGTATTTAGTACAGGGTCTACAGGGGCTTGCTACACAGATTGGACTTGTACTGATCCTCCGAGTTTTCAGCCTCCCAAGCACTGGGGTTGCAGGTGCAGGACACTACACCCAGTCTCAATCACTGTTTCAGCACACTCCAGGGGTGAGGTGGACATGGCATCTGCCTAAGCAGATGCTTTAGTCTGCTGATCTATCTGGCTGGCCCTTGCACACCTTTTAATGAACATAAATTTGCTGATAATTCTGAAGGCTGGGAAGACCAAGATCAGGGTGCAGTATCCATCCTATGAAAGATTTCTTGCTGTGTCCCCCCATGGTGGGAGACAAGAGGACTTGGGGAGGGCAGGTGCACTAAACTTGCCCTTTCATAACATTGTTAATCCCCCTATGTGCCAAGGCCTTCTCATCCCATCATCTGTGAAAGTCCTTCCTCTTAGTACCATGGCAGCTCAATTTCTGTATGAGTTTTGGAGAGATCAGGCAGTAGAAAAGTAGCAATAATTAAGTTAATAGTCTTGGCAGGCTTGAAAGGCCCATAGGATTTTCAGATGTAGCTATCCATAGAAAGTCCAGAACTAAAAATGAGAGCAATGTTATTGTAGAGTGAGCCAGGGCATACATACCCTTCGTCATCTTTTGAGGAACAGATCTTTGTCCACAATTGATAAGGGAGTTCTTATATTTTATTAAATTTTATAATGAAATATTGTTGGCTTAATCATTTTCTTAAAACTTCTGCATAAATTTCAGAAGTGACTGTCTACATTATCCTTTTATAGGATTTGATAAAGTATACTAGACTTTTCTATTCTAATAATAATTTTATACTAAACAGCAACAGTTTGCCAAGTAGTGTTATACTGTCAGCACTTGTGTGCTTTTCTGCATGCCAAAAATCTAATCCAAAATTACATTGCCATTTCCACTCACCTGTCTCTTTCACATCACTGAAAATATTTGAATCTTCTCTCTTCCATGAAACTAATTCTTATTAAAATTACCCCTCTCAAATTAACCTTGATGACATATAACTTTACCTCTAAAATATGGAAAAATGAACAAAATTATTATGTTCATATATAATACTTCTCACATGTGTATTAGTTATCTGTTTTGATTTGTATTTTGTTTTCTGCAATAGGAACTAACTTTGTAGCTCAGGCTGGCCTTAAACCTGCTGCAGTCCTACCTCTTAATCCTCTTGAGTTCTGGGATTACAGTAGGTGTGCACCACTATACCCAACCTAGTTTTCTGCTTCAGTTGAACTAATTAACACACAATTATTATCTGGGAAAAACACCCATATTGTATCAGATAATTTCTGTAGGGCAAAATCTAGACAGAGCTAAACTGGTTTCTCTGACTGTGTTTGCAAGCTATGGCTGGCCTGCATTTCTTTCTGGAGTTTGAACTTTGTTTTGGCTCACATTGTTGGCAGAACTCAGTTCCCAGTTTAGGAGAAGGAGTTCCCCACCCTCTTGCTGACTGTGAGCAGGGGATGTGTTCACCTTGCCTCCCTCCATGTACCCTCTCATGTTGCTGATCTCCTGATGTCCTTCCAATGTCCCTCTGTCAGTTTCAACAGAATCTAAGGTTATGTAACATGTTGTAATAATGGCTATATATTGCCCTTTGCCATATGATTCAAGCTAATCTAAGGAATGACTGTCATATCCCAAGGTTCCACCACACCTACTGTGAGGGATTACACAGGGTGTGCACACTGACACCTGAAATCTTGAAAGTCATCATAAATGGCCTAGAAATCAATCAACTGTATTTCTTCCTGTAAGAGTACTGACATTCACATGAGAAGAATTACTTCCCAAAACTTGACTCCATATATTATTACTTAGAAATTAGGCTTCAGTATATGAATTTATACATGATACATACTTTAGCTGCATCATACATACATGACAGTGGAATTCATGAGAAAATCTTTTATGTCAACTTTATGTAAATTATCATTAAGAGACTGGGGGGAATGGGGTTCAAACTCAGGACCTCATGCTTGCCAGGTGCTGTGTTCTTAGCCCTGGCTGAAGAATATGATTAATAGAAACTTGAGTGCCCTGCCTTCGTTTAAGAACTTCAAGTAAAACCAACTAAAGCAAATTTGATTATTGAACAGATAGTTCAAATAGCTTAAATGATCATATTTGTATGAAAATTATACATTGTAGCTTAGAAATTATTGATTAGGTCTTTCTTAAATTAGTATTTCTCTAAAAATGGATCATATTAGGCTCTGATGTGAGAACAGAGATGATCTTCATAGATATTGCAGACTATAAAGTTTTCTAGAAATAAAAGACAGCAAAAATGTCAGGATTGTGAGCAAATAGCTGTATCAAATAGCTTCATGTTGCCTCCATAACATGAAGAGGAGAATTCTGGGTCACACATGGTCCTGGGGCCAGCAGCTGTTTCCTCCAGTGCATTTGTCGCACACAGCATGAATTCAAACTGAAGATTCATATACAAAAAAGAAAATGTTGCAATATATGACTCTGATGGCGTGGAGAATTAAAGATTATTCAGAGTCAGAACTTGAACTGAACACCAAGAGTCCCAGAGGAACTGACCCAAAGAGGAAGTGAGTGAGTCACCTAGGAGCAGCCCCGAATCAAGAACTGCTCAGATTTTATTTAGAAGAACAGAGAAAGGAAAAAAAAAATGATAAAAGCAGATCAGGCAAGGGACTGCCTCAAGTCTAAGCAAATTATTGGGGAAAGGGGAAGGACAATGGCCAGACATAACATGCTTCATTAATCTAAACATCTTCCTGTTTTCCAACTGTGGTGTGCTTGGCAAAAACCCATGAGTTTTGCCTCCAGTTTCCTTCACAGTCTAGCCATTTACCCTTCAGAGAGCCTGTATACTTTTGATTCACTATTTTCTTCATCATACCTGCAGATAAGGGGCCCACAAGAAAATAACTGTAAATTACATGAATGAGTTGAAAGAGAAATAGGAAATCCAGAAAGAAGAGCATTTAAAATTTATATGCTAGGAAATATTTGACTGAATGAAATTAAGATGTGATGTGAAATTGGCATGTTGTGAGTGAAACACTGTCCAGGTTTCAATCACTCATTCAGTGAACTTTTCTTTGTGAAATGGTACCAACAGAATAGTACACAGTAGCATAGTTCAAGGACACTAGACTGTGTATTTAGAATTGAGTACACTTTGAAACTTCCAGGAATTCTGAATAGGCAAAAATCTTATACAGACAGCTGGCAAAGTGCAGATCAGAGGGCTGGGGAGATAGCTCAGTGGAGTAAGTAGTTGCCTGGCAAGCTTAAGGTCCCGAGCTCAATCCCTGGTACCACCAAAAAAAAGTGCATATGAGAGTCTAATGTGGAAGTAGATTATCTGTATGTGTAACTGAAAAAGAAATATAGAGTGCAAAGGTCTTGCTGGTAGGACAACTGAGTAGAAGTGTCATTCATATTATTTTATGAATGAGAAGTATTAGGACAACAAAGAAGAAAACTACATTTAAGTGGGACATGGAGATGAAGATCTCTAGGAATCAAGAAGGAGGTGGGATTGTAGCTGCAGAAAATGGAAAAATAGTAAGTGTCAGCAACTTGGCATCTTGAGGACAAAACTGGATAAAGCCTAACTAAAAATTAGGACTCTAAGCTAATCTTTTTTAATGAATATAAGTTTAAAAATACATTTTTATGAATCTAGATGCAAAAATGCTCAATGAGATATAAGTAAATAGGATGCAACATATTATCAAAAAGATGATAGATCCATTGTGATCAAGTAGGTTTCATCTCAGAGATATAAGAATCCTTTACATATATAAGTCAAAATATTACATGATCATATCAATAGATGCTTTCAACCAAATTCAATCAACAAAGTAGCAGGTATATGATCAGTACTCCAAAATCATTAGCCTTTGTGCACACCAATGATGAACAGGTTGAGAAGAAAACTGTGAAAATAAGAACATTTTTGGTATCTCCAAGAAAAATGAAATCTTTAGAAGCTAACCTAACCAAGGAAGTAACAGACCTCTGCAAGGAAAATTACTGTACTCCAAAGGACTTCTTTGGGACTCACAGCTGCTCCCCAATTTTATGAGAATTTACAGTATATAAATAGCCTGATCAATTAAATATTGAAAGGACAGCTTCTAACAAATGGTTATTACCAAATGGTTATTGCCTTGAAACATCTCTGGT